ATCTGGCAGACGGCGCCAGGGCCACGCCTGACTCATGACTCCCTTCACCATGACTCGGCTCTCCTCAGCGTGACTCGGCCGTCCGTGAAACCGCACGAGTCAGCGTGGGGAGTCCGCGCCAGGACTCGGAGGAGCCCGCGCCCGCGCCCCGCGTCCGAGGAGTCCGCGCCACAGCTTGGCGACGCTGCGCGGGCTTGCTCGCGCCGAGGTCATGGGGCTGACCGCAACAGAGGTCACGCATGTCGCGGCAGTGCCACTTGAACCGCTGACATGACGCAGTCGTCCCACGTCACGACCGATCCACACCAGGCTCTGTCCAGACACGACCGAAGCAGACCCAGGCCAACGTCGCTTTCCAAGTAATCAGGACCGCGCCGCAAAGGCGCGACTCGGTCAGAAACAGCGGATACCAACAGCAGCGCGGGAACTAGAAAGCCGGGGGGGGGGGGGGCATGAAAGCTGGGCCCCAACTTTCTGAAGCTTTCTGAAGATTTATGACTGTCCTTGTGTGTGATGACTGAGCGTACATGACTCTGACATGACTCATGACTTGCTCTCCCCCCCCCCCCCCAACATGGAAAGACACCAGGGAAGGACGCCCCCCGGACACCACGTTTCGGCACGAGACTAAGCACGAGGCGTATAAAGTAAGGCACATCCGCCCCAGCAGTAATGCCCCCCCCCCCTCACAAAAAACGCCCGTAAACCGAATCAAGCAATTTCAGAATTAACAGAGATGACCAAAAGATGGATGTTAATGCACGCGAAAACGACACCATTAATACAAACAAGTCTGCATGACTAAAAGATGGGCGTTAATGCACGTGAACACGACAACATACAAGGAAGTGAAAACGACAACAAAACGACATACAAATTAACGGAGTGAACATTTACGAGGCATTACAGCCGAGTCGTCGCCGTATCTGTCTGGCGCGGACACGTAGTCACCGCCAAACACGTCACGTCAATAACCCCCGGCCGTCTGCAGCCCGCTCCTGGACGCTCGCCGTTGCTAGGCAACGCGGCGCGCTGCACACCACGCCGTCGCTTTGGCTCTGCAACGAGCGCCGCCGCGCTGGTCGCGAATGCTGCGACCGCTGCGCAAAAAGTCGGCGAGTGAGTTCCGCTGAGCCAAACGTCGTATGCATTCCGGCTACTGGGATGAAGACCCTTAGCCGTGGCGATTGGACAGGTGTCCACAGCCGGCAGGTCGGCGTCTATATCTGTGTCCGTCATAGAGTCGGTGACAGCCTGACTGAGAGCGTCGTTACAGGCAATCGCTTCCGGTCGATTTCACAGCCCGCCGCCTCCTCTGCGAGGCTTTTTACGAGTCCCGGCCTCTTCATCCTGTACGCTCGGCATGGGACGCATGGAGGGCCTCCTCGGCCGCTGCTGCTCTCCAGGCCGGTTGGGGACATGGGAATTCCCCGATTGTCAATGCTCTTGCACTAGAGGAAACGTCTCATCGATGTCTCCCTCAGGCCGGCCCGGCCCGGCCCGGCCCGGCCCTGGCACACTGCAGGACCTACTCTTACAATGCGACGTTGCAAGATGCACACCCGACACAGATGCAGCCGAGGCCCGAGCGGGGATGGGGGGGGGGGGGGGAGCTCATGGGACATATCCGGCGACATCGACAAGCAAGTACTGTGCATGTTAGCGACCGTGACGCATATAGTATGCTTGTAGTGCGTGAGCGCGTGCGTAGGCTTAGACTACGTCCTAAAAAGCCAATGTTAGTCTCTCCCCGCCTCGACGTCGCAAAGCCCGATCTCTAATCCTGACTGAGCCCCTGCCCTGACTATATTGCGTCCCCGCTGAACAAGCGTCCGAGCATCCATCACCGCCGTGGGTATGAAAAGCGAACCAGTGAAGTCGCTTCGCGGTGGCCCGCCATGCCCCGGGCGCAGTGGCGGATCCAGCTGTTCCATCCCGGGGGAGCAAGCATCGGTGCGAGACGCTTCCCCGACGCCGAGAGATGGCGCTGTGCCCCGACTTCAAGCCGGCGCGTCTCACCCCCAGACCAGCGGCGGGCTGGGCGGCACGGAGGCTGCCCTGACCCAGCACCCTTCCTCCCCACCGCATCCGCCTCTGCTGCCCGGTGAGATACACGCTGAATGCACGATAGCTCCGATTGGAAATACCGAGAATCGCTGGCAGCGTGGCAGCCTGACAAGCTCGATGGAGCCTGAGCTTCGCCATAAACTTCATATTTACCCATTAGCAGGTCCCAGGAACGCCACCTGCCGAGGCGCAGCCAGCCACGCCAAGTGGGCAGGAGGGAGGGGAGGGGGGTGACCGTGAAATATTTGCACAAAGGTAATGAAAACCCCGCCAGGCGGTGTGAACACATGCAGGCGAACCACCAGGTGTTGGCAAGCCATGCAGACAAAACCCAGCATTGACTAAAATCGGCAGCCTTGCCACGCTCGCCAGCGGCATGCTAGGACATGCACGCGGCATGCTGACGTCATGGCATGACGTCATGGCATGGCATGACGTCATGGCTCGCGCGTGACGTCACGACAAGGGGGGCCGTTCCTTGGGGGGGGGGCCACCCCTGCGTGTGAGCGATGCCTCTGGCGACGCCGGTCCTTCGGGAGACGGGGCGCGGAGCACCATCATTTCCTGGGGGTTTCGCTGACTAACGGGCCCGCGCCGCCGCTCAGGCACCGCACTGCAGAGGACTGTATCGGACTGCACCAGACTGTGAGTCCGGGCTGAAACCGGACTGTCAGTCCGGGCTGCACAGGACTGCTCAGGACTGCTCAGGACTGCACAGGACTGTCAGTCCGGGCTACACAGGACTGTTCAGGACTGCACAGGACTGCACCAGACTGTTCGTTAGGACTGTCAGTCGGGACTGCACAGGAGACGCAGGCGAGGGGGCCCGCTGCCGGTCCCCGCAGGCAGCAAACTATCGCCGGAGGCCGACGCGCACCCTCACCCCAAAGCCCAGCCAGAGGCGTGCACAGTCTGCCTACCGAGGCACGCCCTCCGTTTGCCTTTTAACGGTCATAGCTCGACACAACCTCCTACCAAGTCCACCGCACACTCAGATCGCTTTTCGAGGCTTAAAATACGGCTAGAGAGAACTGTCCATGAGACACAAACAACCTGTCATTTTAGTTGAGTAAATCGAAACTTGTAATTCATGATCCTTCAAATTAAACTCTTATCAGAGTTGGTGTGTAGTAAGTTCATCGGTATTTCGCAAACAAATGGAATTGTCATCATCATACTGTTACTTTCCACACTCTCAACCTACGTTTTCAACCAAGGACTCAGATGTTTCCACATAATACAGAAGGGCTATGGCCCGAGAAAATTTCCCTTTTTATTTTTCATAATCACAACCCGAGGACTGTTCGATATTTGCCTTTTCCGTCAAAAAAATCCTAAATGCCTGAAATATGCCTGATTTTGTACTTCCGTCTTCTACCGCAACACTATGAACTAAGACGCAGCCAAAGCGACAGTTCGACCAGGTGCACTCAGCTAACACAGGGCGTTAGGCAAAATCTTAGCGAACTTATCACAGTCTAACGACAAAACTCCTTGCTTGACGAAGGGCAGATTACGAAATGAGACATGGCCGCGTTCAATCTGTCGTCAGCACGTTTGGCAGCACCAATCACGGCCCAGTGTTTGCCCTACGTCACGGGACGTGACCACAAAGTCACGTGGCCTGTGACGTCGCGCGCCGGCTGACGATGAGCCAGGATTTTTTTTTGTCAGTCCGTCAGCATGGAGAGAAAGCGCTACCAGATTAAGAAATCACTCTGAAGTGGCAGCTGGATTCGGTAGCTCTTGCGTTGGCCAGTACGTTGGGTTGGTCGGAGCACTTGTCTCTGATTTGGGGGAAATGCGACGTAATATACACACAGAGGGAATTGAAATGCCAAGCGTAGCCACGAAAAGGTGAGTGATGGTGATTGGCGTGGCGTGCGGTTGCATTGGCTAGTAAATTAATGGCGTTATAAGTAAACACCTAAAATGAGAGGGAAAATATTGAAATGAATTGCAAACGGGAAGAAGCCCTCAACATACGGATAGATGGCGGCAATACCGGAACAGAAGCCACACTTCCAAACACCACTTTGAACGTAGTGTGTCATGGCCGGTGGTACGCCAGAGTTAGTGTGTGGACTACTGAAGTAGAAGGTAAAAGAAGAAAGGAAAGTAAAGCTAAAAACTTTCCTGTCAGCCCACACACCGAACGCTCCGTCAGCACGCATGACGTCACGCATTCCAGCTGACAATCGTGCTGACAACAGGTCGCACGAGGCCATAACACGACCGCTTCCTTGCTCAGCTAAAAAAGCAATGATGGCCATTTTCACGAAGCAGTTCACGGCAATCTGGCGCCGCAGTCGGTGACGCCGATTGCCCCCGTGGTTGCCCAAACACTGCAGTGCCCAGCACACCCGGCCGGTGCCCGGGCTCGAACCCACCCCTTTCCGTCCCGGCCCCGAACCCGTCACGCGGCGGCAGGGAAGCCCCACACCACCCGCACCGCAAACCCCGAGCCTCCCACCCGCAGCCGGGCCAGTACATACCGAAACAGGCGGCGGCGAACGCGGCGCCGGCGCCCTGGCCGGGTCCGCAGGCGAACCACGGACCGGGGACCGCGGGGACCGCGGGGACCGCGCGGACCGCGCCGACGGCAGGGTCCGGCGCGCGCTGCCACAGCCAGGGCGCCGCGGATCGGCGCATGGCGAGGCGCGCTCTGAGGGTGCCGGCGGGCCGCGGCTCAAAGCGCGTCACTCAATTACCACAGTCAAAGGTCACCGGGCGCGGGTCGAAGGTCAGAGGTCGCGGCCGGGGGACAGCGGACGGTGGCGGACCCCCGGCTCGCGCGACACGTTGAGGGGTTCGCTCAACTCAGCGGACGGCAGAACAGCCCTCCAAGCCCCAAATATCAAGCTCCATCGCGAGCCACAAGCCCCAAGTTCCAAATCCCCAGCCCCAAGCTTTAAGTCCCAAGTCTCAAGTCCAAACCCCAATCCCCAAGCCCGATGCGTCCGAGGAGTGGAGGTGAACACATTCGCCCCTCTCCCCCCGCGGCCGTGGCGCCCAAATAAATCGGATGGCGCACTGCTTCCACCACGAGATGGCGTAAATACACAAATACGCTCAGTCTTTTAGGATGTTCAAGACGCAGCTGTCAGGTACGCTAGTTGGGCTTCTCTTACTTGTGAAAAATACTTTAAATGTACCTTACTAATCACTGGATAAAGCCAGTGAACCGTTACAAAGAGAGGCCGGTGATGCAGATGACAATCAAAATCAACGGATAATGAAAACAAGGGGCGTTACGAGGACTGGTGCGGGGAATCTCGTGCAAGCCTAACGCACTTCGGACTGCGGGGCGTGGTGCGTTATCTCCTCACCACGGGCTGCGGGGCGTGGTGCGTTATCTTCTCACCACGGGCTGCGGGGCGTGGTGCGTTATCTTTTCACCACGGGCTGCGGGGCGTGGTGCGTTATCTTCTCACCACGGGCTACTTTCGGTCTCACCTTTCACCTCACCTCTCACCTCACCTCACCTCTCACTTTCGTGCTCACCATCCGACCGCCGCGCCACAACCCGTGACCTCGTGACCTCGTGGGGAGGAGGCCTCTCTGAGGTGATACCACACCCCACAACGGTAAACAGCGTCGTCGTACCTCGTGACCTCGTGGGGAGGAGGCCTCTCTGAAGTGATACCACACCCTACAACAGCAAACAGCGTCGTCGTACCTCGTGACCTCGTGGGAGGATGCCTATCTGAGGTGATACCACATCCTACAACGGCAAACAGCGTCGTTGTACCTCGTGACCTCGTGGGGAGGAGGCTTCTCTGAGATGATGACACGTCCCACAATGGTAAACAATGTCATCACAAACATATCCACACTCCCCTTTTTGAGAGATGCGTTCATCAACGTGACCGCGGACGCTCAACGCGCAATAACTAGCGAAATAATGGAAGCGTACACGACCGCCACTTTTCAGCTTATCAAAAAAGCTGCATTGCTTTAGCTGCCACACATGCAGCAGAATGGCGTCCGCCCCCCCACTCCTCCTTTCCTCGTGCCTGGCCGCGCCACTGCCCACAGCATGGACACAATCCGTTGGCTCGCCTAAACAGAGCACGCGTCACCCTGCCCCGCCTGGACGCCAGCCGACAGACAGACAACCTGTGAGGACCCGGTAGTCTGTACGTGTCTAGGCTACGTGTCTAGGCTACGTGTCTAGGCTACTTGTCTAGGCTACGTGTCTAGGATGCGTGTCTAGGCTACGCGTCTAGGCTATGTGTCTAGGCTACGTGTCTAGGCTAGTGTCTAGGCTACGTGTCTAGGCTACGGACGTGTCTAGGCTAGTGTCTAGGCTACGTGTCTAGGCTACGTGTCTAGGCTAGTGTCTAGGCCACGTGTCTAGGCTACGTGTCTAGGATGCGTGTCTAGGCTACGCGTCTAGGCTATGTGTCTAGGCTACGTGTCTAGGCTACGTGTCTAGGCTACGTGTCTAGGCTACGTGTCTAGGCTACGTGTCTAGGATACGTGTCTAGGATACGTGTCTAGGCCACGTGTCTAGGCTACGTGTCTAGGATACGTGTCTAGGCTACGTGTCTAGGCTAGTGTCTAGGCTACGTGTCTAGGCTAGTGTCTAGGCTAGTGTCTAGGCTACGTGTCTAGGCTACGTGTCTAGGCTACGTGTCTAGGCTACATGTCTAGGATACGTGTCGAAAATCTTCTGAGGATGCCACGCAGAGGCTCTCAGGCCCCGTTCCTACCCTCAGGGCCTCAGTCCCTAAGCTCCGTGTTTTACCCTCAGGGCCTCAGTCCCCAACCTCCATGTTTTACCACCAGGGCCTCAATCCCCAAGCTCCGTGTTCTACCCGCAGGGCCTCAATCCCCAATCCGCGTTCTGCCCTCAGGGCCTCAGTCCCCAACCTCCGTGTTCTACCCTCAGGGCCTCAGTCCCCAAGCTCCGTGTTCTACCCTCAGGGCCTCAGTCCCCAAGCCCCGTGTTCTACCTCAGACCCAAGTAGAAAGCAAAGCTTCCTCAGCTCTGTGTCGCCGAGCAGCGAAACCGGGTCAGCACGCCCACGGTGTGCAGTAGTGAAAAGGTACGAGGTTAGCGCATCCACGACGAGGACCCGCCAACACTAGGTGGAAAGGTGATTTCATGTCCGGCGTTGCATCACAAAAAAGCGTGAATAGCTCTCGCGCCCCCGCCATCAGCGGCCCGTGGCGCTGGCGCACGTCCGCCAAAAGCGGTCCTGGCGCACGTCCGCCATCAGCGGCCCGTGGCACTGGCGCACGTCCACCATCAGCGGCCCGTGGCGCTGGCTCACATCCCCCATCAGCGGCCCGTGGCACTGGCTCACGTCCGCCATCAGCTGCCCGTGGCGCTGGCGCACGTCCACCATCAGCGGCCCGTGGCACTGGCGCACGTCCGCCATCAGCGGCCCGTGGCACTGGCGCACGTCCGCCATCAGCGGCCCGTGGCGCTGGCGCACGTCCGCCATCAGCGGCCCGTGGCACTGGCGCACGTCCGCCATCAGCGGCCCGTGGCGCTGGCGCACGTCCGCCATCAGCGGCCCGTGGCACTGGCGCACGTCCGCCATCAGCGGCCCGTGGCACTGGCGCACGTCCGCCATCAGCGGCTCATCGCACTAGCTCTGAAAGCTCGGCTCCATCACCCGACGTGAGAGATGTCGTCAAGAACGTGTCCAGCACGGACCGGCACGCACCGGTTTTTGACTGGCAGACGTGCTGAGGTGCGCTCAGGAACCGCACGGCCTCGCAGACGCTTTCGCGCAGGTTTGGCATTTGCTGTGTCACGCATGAGAAGCGCTGACTTTAAAAAAAATGTTCTTGGGCCACCCGGTGTCGGGACGTTCTTGCGACGGCTGTGAGGGCGAGCCCAGAAGCATAACCACCCAGCTAAAAAGATACAGTTGATTTCTTAGCCTGTTCAAAAACCCACAGAGATGACAGATTGTGATAAGCAATCTCTTGCAATACCATTAAAAGCGCGCTGCCATTTGGCTGTTTCTGTGCGTTCGTGTCACCGTATAACTTCTCTCTCCCATCGAAAGTGACAATCACAGACCTCCATAATGATTAGCAATGCATTAATTTTAGACTTAAGTCAGTTAAGGCAGTCATTTACTGAGGAACACACGGGGCAATAATTGTTCGTTCGCATGTGACTGAGCCCTACATTAACAGATTGAAAGAGCAAAACTAGGCGATGGTATCCCTTAAATTCGATGCGGTGCCTCGAGGCAATCGCTGCGCATTGTGCCTCGTCGCGGTTAGAATCGAGCCACGGGCTTCCAAACTTTCAGTCCAAATCGTCTCCACCGAACCGAGACTGGCAGACTCGCTGCGAAGGAGCTCGAGCGCTCCCCCTCGGCGCGGCGTCAATTGAATCATGATACAAAACCCGCCCCTCCCTCTCTCCCCTATCCCCGCGAAAGTACGTCTATCCGGTTGTGACACGAGAAGCCGCCCTCCCCCCCTCCCCCCCCCCCCCTGCACCCGGTCCCAGAAAGTCTGCTCGCGTGCCACCAACCCCCCTTTGAGTAGCGAGCGCGTGCCCCCGGCGATGGGGAATTCCGCGAATGCTAACCGGAATCATCGTTCTCGCTTTGTGCAGCCCGCGCGCCGGGCTACAACCGTGCACGGTGCTTGCCCCCCCCCCCCCCTCCCCTACCCGCGCAGAGGCGCGCCCAGCGTGTCACGTGACGAATTTTGCGGGCGGAGGGTCGGCGCCCAGCGCCACGCCGGGTAATCCCAGAGCAGCGATGCAGCAACCAAGCAGAACGCGCACTTTTTACCGTTCACCACCGTTCACACGGCCTTTCACAGATCTAGAACGATGATGCGGAACATTTGCTGTACGGAGTTCCTTGACATAGCTGGGTCAAGCCAACAGCCAACACACCGCAAGAGACAAGAGATTTTATTTCGATGTTTCTTTTTAATTAATGGGATTCTGAGACTTCCGCGGCCGCCCCGCCGGGCGTCCCGCGCACGCTTCTGCCCGTCAGTACAGGTGCACGCGGACCTGAGCGGAGACGCCGGCAGCGCCCCTGGCGGCGGCGGTGGAAACCCCCGTCGACGGCGGGGATTTTCCTTCACGACCCGGCGGCCAGCTGTGACGTCACGGGATGAACTGCGCCAACAATGATGTCACCCTCCGAACTGAGCCGGTTGAATGTTTTACACCGTAGCCCTGCAGGCAAAGGCTGAAAGTTCGCCCGAAACGCATTTGAAGCTGCAAGGTGTCCATGTTACACCGACCTTTCGCGATGCACAACAAACGCATCATACGCATGCGTGTGCGTGACCCATCAACTCTGCAATCCAATGATTAAGGGTCTGACGGATACAACAGATACGTTGCATGAAAGCATGCAAACGCGTTCCTAAAATTCGTAAGTTCTTTGGGACTTCCAAACCCCAAAACAGCACGATAGAAATCACTTCGTTCGCTCCAACCGTTACGCGAGGAATGGCTGCACTGCTATGCAGTCATGCTCTTTATTCATTCGACCGAGCATCAAATCAAGGCACCAAGGCGTGCCACATCAGCATCAGAGACAGAGCTGGCGA